CATTACTTTAAAGGAGCTCACTTTAACAACAGTCATCATCCAGTTAGCTGTCTGTCAGTGCTGTCAGCTTTTTCCCAAGGTTTTTGGAGCTTTAAAATAAGTGTTATTCGCTTATAGGCTTATTTTCCTGAAAGGAGTTTCAAATGGTTTAAAGAAATGATCTATGTTGTAAATATTTAAAATACCACTGGTTTCAGAAAAGTTATATGATCCTGATATTACCGTATGAATGCAGTGAACTGATATTTCTGCAAATATTGGCTGAGAAAAGAAAAAAAATCAGTGCCTGTCCATTTTGATTACCAGATACGAAAATAAATATTCAGCAGTATCGATAGGGGTGCACAGATTGCAGTTTTCTGGCCGATTACCAATCTTTAAAAAGCCTGACCTGCCGATTCCAATTTTGCCAGATACCAAACAAGGTGGTAAAAAGGTCACAATATACTTTCAATGTTCCAATATTATTTTGTTGAAAACACTTGAACAATACTCTTGAAACAATACAAACTTGCTTTAACTGAACATGAGGTAGTGCTCACAGCACAGCAAAAGGGGATGGTCATTGATTTTCAAACCTTCGGAGAGGTAGATAGGATCAGTCAGATTGCAGATCGCCCATAATTAAGGAAATTGGGGCCAATAAATCAGCCAGCCTTTTTATTTTCTCGCCAGTATTTGATATAACCAGCTAACTGTTGCCCAAAGTTTTGTTGTTTTTTTTAGGCAAGAATGCTCTCTGTATAGGGATGCATGATATATCTGCATTAACATCAGTATCGGCCGATATTGGTCATTTTTTATAAAATCGTATCGGTCCAATAAGTGAAACTGGCCTTTTTTAGCTTTGTGTTTCTGTATTCTTGTTGGTCGAATGGTATCTGTTTAATCGTGATGATGAATAATTTGTGCGTTTGTGTAATATCAGCAAACATCGGTTATCGGCCATAACACCAATAATAATATTGGATATCAATATCGGCTGAAATTTTCTTGTCAGTGCATCCCTGTCTCTATATATAATCTTTAAGAGCTCATGAAATTATGCAATCATATTTATACTACATAATGGCCAAAATAAAAAAAAATGAAACTGTCGTATATCTGCCTTAGGTTGCCCTGATTTCTAAAAGTCAATATTGGCCATAGAAACATAAAAACAATTCCATGGTCACCTACTTTTTCAGCTGAGTTTATTTTTTTGAGTAGCTTGCTTCGTTTGTTTTGTTTTCTTTGTTACAATCCCTAATAAGGTCAAGTTTTTTTTGGTGGCAAATTGTTTTTTCTCCACCACTGTGAACCATCTGGAAAGGCTACCTGGACCCAGGCACAGCTCTTTCCTTTTTCCTTTTGTTTTGCCCAGTTAGACTAGAGTTTTGATTAGGAAGTTGTGGCTCATGAACCCACTGTTTTCTCTAGCCGGTCCCTTGCTCTGCCCCTAGCAGGGTATCCCTTCGCTGTGTTTTGCCTGTAAACCAGGGGCATCAGTGGGATCAGTATCAGGACTGGCCAGCTCTTCCTGTGCGAACACAATGCAGCAGGAAGTTCACTAATAGCCAATCTGCTACTGCTCTAACATGGCAGTGGCCGTACACGATCCTGGTGATGAATGATCTAGGGGTGTCAGAGGCTTTGGTGATTCACTTCATTTGCACAAACTATTTATCAGTTTGCCAGATGTTCTCTGTGACCAATCAGCAAATCAGCATCCTCTTTTGTGTTCAAGTTCAGCGTTTTGTGTTTGGTGCATCTGTTTCAAGAGGGAAAATGAGTTTGGTTGCTCTGAGATTGCTTGCAGAGGAAAAGGCAACTCTGCCAAAAGGCATTCAGTAAATACATTTGCAGACAGCTTTCCTCCTGAATGACTTGTGTTTTCAGTCTTTCCCTCTGTGCTTTATGATGGTCATTCAACTCTGCATCTCGTATTGATTGTTTTTAAAGAGGTACTTCCCTGGATGGAAGTCATTGACTACTAATCAGGCTAATAGGATTCTTCAGTGAGTTTGAAGGGTGCAAGCCTTTTCTCTTTCCATTGTGTTGCAGATTTAAGTTGACATTACCGAGAAAGGGGACCTTATTTGAACCACATTAGAAGTGCGGAAAGTAAGAAGGGGAGCTAGTAAAAATGACAAGAAAGAAACCGAGGGATAGACGGAAGCAGGGAGGGGGAAACCAGAAACAGTCTATTTTGGGCTTGAATCATATCCTAAGGTCAGTTTCTATTTTTAGTTGAAAACCAGACGTTGTGGCAAAAATAGGTTACTTTTGACATCTTTGCAAACAGTGTCACATTTATGCTCGGCTCACCAGACAAACCCAAGGCATTGTGGTGTCCTGCTTGCTGCTACGCAACATTAATGACAACAGTCATTTCCTTTTCACCAGACTGTGCCTTATTTGTTGTTCTTATTCCGAGGGTGTAAATTATAATAAAAAAAGGGGGCCAAAGGCTTTAGATTTGTTGAGCTTGGTCTTCTTTTTTTATTTCCCTTCTTTCTATATTCATTGCTGAATTGACTTTGGTAAATAGGTCAGTGATTACCACTGGTCAGTTCAATATTGGGGCTGACGATAACCTATCAAACTGCAAACACATGAAGTCATCACATTCTGTTCAGATCATTTTGGAAATGTGGTCATGTTGGTGTGTTTTTTTATACTGATTGCATTTGTAGGGGAGGCTTTGGTTGGATTCATATTAAAGTTGTTTACTTTGCATATCACTACGAGATTGTTTTGAATGTGCAATATATAAAAACAGGATTAAAACTAATAACTGTTTAGCGGAAATGCTATAATTATTTTTTCTTGTTGATTGCAGTAAAAGATCCCCACAATATACAATCAGTACTCATCTGGGCGGATAGAAAAACTACGTTGGGGATAGACAGAGTATGTTTTAAATAGTAAAACTTGAACTTTGCAAAAAAAATTCTTCAACCGTGGTTCGAGTCATATAGCATTTATTTTATTTCAGAACTTTTCCTGTGATGAGTCAAAGGATGTCTTGATGTGGTTCTATAGTCTAGCCATCGGGTTCACAAAACCTCAACGAGGCAGCTGTTATGACGTTAATAAAAAGGTTTAATTATCCTTTCAGGATATCACTTATATTTGCTGTGTTGTATTTTGTGCATACAAAGTCTATTTGAGGTGAAATTCCAGACCAAATTTAGTTCTATTGGTGATACAGCTTCTAACCTTCCTGAATTACATTTTTTTATATTCCATGGTTTTCTATCTTTATTTTAGTGACGCCATCATGAAACATGTTTGCATAACAAGTAACTCGTAGCTAGTTTTGCATACCAAAACAAAACAAGGCTCAACAACTATTCCAGTCTCACAAGTTTGCTCATTGAGCTGCCTGATCCACATAGACTGGGCCTTTTTTATGGACGCCTTACGTATAACATCAGATAAGCGTTTATGACTTTAAAAACCTCAGTAGCTGCTAGAATAAAATTATGGCCCAATTAAGATCACATTATGAGTTCTTAATTGGATTAATTATCACTTTTATATGCCATTTGATTTTATGAATGTGAACTTGGCTGCAGGCCACTGACTATGCCTAACCAATGAAAGCAGTCAGGGAAGCTGGTTTTCCTTGTTTTTGCTCGTCCAGAATATGTATTTTTCTGTGCGTTTGACGATCTTTGCTGCGGACGTGTTTCTCACTGCACCGATTTGCGCCAGATTTTGCACCGCAGATGAATTACCGTATTTATTCAAGTATAATACATAAAATTAAATCCATAAAATCATCCATAAAGTTGGGGGGGTAGTACTATACTCGGATAAATATTTTTACTTATGTATTTTAACTGAAATATCGGCTTCATTCACAAAATTAGAGTCAGGAAATGAGACCTCGTCATAAAAAGCAGTTGAAACAAGCTTACCTCTGACACTCCTCCGTGCTTCAGAGCGAGATATTAACAGATCCAAGCGGGTGACATGATGTGAAAAAAAGTGGGGGAAGTATTCCTGCACCTTATTAATGATAACGAACTAATGACATTAACATGTGACTGAGCCGCTCCTCTAACAACAACAAACACGTTCGTATGTAATGGCTGCCGTCTACCGGTGTTCTGAAAAAGTTTGTATCCCTGAAAAAACGTTTCCCCACCAGAGGGGGCGCTCGTGAGTAGGAAGTAATCTGCTTTTCCCCCACAAGATGTCCCAAATCTCATGTGAAGTCTCTGACTTTTGTGTTGGCRCCTCCTGGTGGACTATGTGTAAAATGCCAGAATTCATATGATGCTGCTACAGCTGATATATATTTGTTGTCTAAATACCTTTTAGTACATATGTTGTTAAAATAAAATGAACAGTCCAATGATCATTTTACTGATATGTATAAAGACTGCAAAGGCTGAAAAATCTTGAAGTCTGTATGAAATTGGAGGTAGTTTGAGGATAAATTTTTTATGCTTTTTAAGCTAAAAGGGGGGGGGGGGTCGTATTATACACGAATAAATACGGTACATCTGATACGACGGAGAATCTGCACGTTTTATCCTTCGATGGCTTCGTGATCCTAGCGAGAGATCCGTCGCTGCCCCTTGTTGTCTTGCCATCACACCTGGAGCTATACGCGCCTCAACCCAAAGCTGCTAAGTGTGCAGACATGCTGAGCTGGTGTTACGCTAATGACAAGTTTGAGCCACCACATTGCTCTTACTCAGCGCAAACCTCCAGACATGACCAAGCTGAAGCTTTAGGGCTGCTTACCTGGGCGATTAGAGATGGTTCACATGTCCTATATGTCAGCTATCACAGCTGCAGACGTTACATAGAAAATAGCTGGTTGCAAGACTCGAGCACACAAACTGTGAAGGCTGACATTTATTACAGAATAGGAAAAAAGGTCTATTCAGGACAGCACCGTTTCTCTAATGACTTCAGTGGAAATCGTGCAGGAAAACCACAGTTTTCACTTTCATCTGTTCCATCTCTGGTAAACGTGTATCTGCTGGCATGTGAGAGCGTACCTGCCGCACACTTTCAGTAAGCGTGGAAGGAGCAGAGCTGCACTCTGTACCCATAACTCTTAAGAACTGTGCAGCTGAGGTTTCACTTGTGGCTTCGACTGATTCAAAGCGCCACTGCATGTAGGTGGTGTGGCGCTCCTTTGGGGACTTTTTCATCAGACGAGGTGACATTTGAGCAGCTCCGAGTGTGTCAGCGCAATGGTCAGTGTGCCAGCGACTGCCTCTGGCTCACTGCCTGCAGTTTTCCACAGGTACAACCTGCAATACAAATAAAAAATAATAAAAGGAAAGGGAGGATACTGAGACGAATGGGAATGGAAAGTATGCTAGAAATAAGGAACTGACGAATGTGTTGTGGAGAGAAAGGAGGTTAAAAGAAAAGCAGATGAGAGAAGCTAAGACGAGGCGAGGAGAGGACATTAAAAGTGGAAGCAAAAAAAAAAAAGAAACCAAAGAGCAAGCGATGTATCAAACAGTGTGGCCTTTCACTAGCGCTCTCATTTGAGCGATTTAAAGTCAGTACAGTGTGTTCCTCACTGATCCAGGCTCACTCTGTCACACACAACCCCTCTGTTTCAGCTTCTTAAGCAGCCTACACACTCACGCCACCCAGACGACCCTTACTACAGCCACTCGTTGAGTCACAACCTATGCAATCGTGTAATTTGGTCTCAGCAGTCACTTGATAAAGTGAACATTACGTTCATTTAGTGATTCTGCTCCAACAACAGGCTTGCATGCCTGCAGCTAAACATAAACCCTTTTGGCAGATGGGGGGGGATTGCAGTGTCCACTTGGCTGGAGATCCTGCGGCTTCACATTCCATGCCTTTTTCTCTGCGTACCAACCGCCATGTTTCCTCCGAGACAGGAAGTGAGCCCCGTTTCCTGTCACAGTCCTCTTTCATGTGGTCACTTCCTTGTGTTTTGCCAGCTCTTCTCTGTTGTGTTGACTCAGAGAACAGAGGTGGTGGTTGTCCTCACGTTGGGCTCAGGAATAACGAAGCAGAGGTCTTCCTTTTGCATTCCTGTGGTTGCATTACTAAGCCTTCAGAAAGGCAGTAATGTCAGCTCTCTGCCTGCTTTTTATGGCCACATATCTCCGTGCAGAGTTCGTTTCTTAAAATTGCAGTGTTTTGAATGCAAACAATTATATTGCTTAATTTAATTAATTAGTTCAAGTATTGGTCTTGCAACTTTTATTTTTCTCCCAAAACTATCTCCCTTATGCGAATGCTGATTCAACATTCACACTATTCTTCCTTTTTATTTTTCCACACAGTGTTTTACAATGTAACTAATCTTTTTGTTAATTTAGCTGTTCCTATATAAAAACATTTAACTCATTTGGGAGATTGACTTTTGGTGTAGGTAGCTTCTGTACTTTGCTAAATATTTGCATTTAGCATTAGCATTTATAGATATTTCCCTATTAAAACACATCAAAATATTTAAATTCTCACAAAAACATTGCTCTTTGGCTCTATATTTGTATTTTTATGCTACATAAACTTTTTGTTACCATTTTGCTTATAGCTAGCTTTCAACTATTTTTAGATTCAACTAGCCTTTTTGAGCACTTTGCTTATTGCTATTTTTTAGCTTTTTTTGTTACTTTTAGCCTTTAGCTAACCCTTTGCAACAAGTAGCTTATCCTTTAGGTTTTTCTTATTTTAAGCTTTTAGCAAACCTTTTGCCTTTTTTACTAGTCTTTTGCTACTTTTACTTTTAGGTAGTGCTCTGCTTCTTTTAGGTTTTTAGCTTCTTTGCCAAATTTCAGCAGTCATTCAGCATTCACAATGCATTTTTTTTATTATTGTTTGCTTCTTTTTAAACATAAAACTGTCATTATCACTTATTTTTATTACACAAGATATGAGCGTCCTCCAGTGACGACAATCAAAGTTCACTTCTGTGAAATTGTGGGTGTTGTAACCTTGCAGAGGAATGTTGATTGTGATGACTGCCTGGCTGGGAATCCTGCATTTACTGTTTCCTAAAAGATACTAGCGAGTTGGCTGAGATTACAATTGAACTTTACACACAGTGATTAGCTGGTATGTTTGGATTCCTGCGTATTGAAGCCAGAGATAAATCTGTGTCACACAGTGTCTCAGGTTCTAAAGGAATTCACTGCATGAAGAAATTGTAAATGTGTGATAAACATGTCCCACAATTATCAACACAAAAGGGATTTTAATTCCTTAAAGCGTTTTTTTGACTTTTGGTTGCGTGTGTTTTGAAACCACCGTCGCTGGCTGCAGTTGAGTGAGCTGCAAAATCAAAACCGTACGCTGCTGATGTTTGTCGGGGACGAGGCTTTTCCACTGGCCACACCAGACACCCCCGAGCCACACTCTCCGCAGGGCACACAGAGTTCTGCCAGTTTTGGCATTTCCCATCAGAGCGCTTTAATGTCCCCCCCACCCTCACATCTGCTCCCTCTCTCGCGTTCTGAACTGCCTTTTAAAATGTTCTAGATCATCACACCCTGCGTTTTAACTGTCACACCAGCCAAAGCCTCTGGGACTGGAGCTGCGAGATTTTCCTTCCTGTCATCAGGATGATGGGGCTGGGGGGGGGGGGGGCATCTCAGGACAACCCGGCGTCTGCGTGCGCATTACAGTCATTCCTCGCTGCAGCAAAGCTGAGAGCAACAGCGAGCTTTAGCAGTCATGGGAAAAAGTGGCTCATGACAAGACTTTACTCCTCGCCTTTGGCCACAGTTACTGATGTGCGGCAGTGGGCACAGGGGGGAGGGAGGAGGGGGAGGTGTTAGCATTCGCTAGGCTAATTAGGGAAGGCCCGTCACATACTTTAAATCATGCAAACTAGCTCAAGACTACTGGCTGAGGCAGTCGGATCATTTGATTCAAACGTAATTGCATTCATTTGTAAAAGGACCAGTGTTCAAACGGACTCTCATGTGCCTGGGAGGCTGAGAGGAGCATAACGAGATGGAGAAAAGGGAAGGAAAGAGAGCGAGAGACGAGATAAAGAAGATGAAAGGGAGGAAGTTTCTGTTTAATAGGGACATTTTGTGCAGTCGTTTTTGATCTTAATCACTACTTGAGGTGATATGAAGGTGTTTCTCAGTTACACCAAGAGAAAGTAATGTTTCAAAAGTTGAGATATCCTGCCTTTTTGACTTTTGACATTTTCAGTTTCTTACAAGTACCACAACCCTAACGTAGTGCAGCTTTGAATGAAAAAAAATAACTATTTTCTTTCATATCACAAGTAATCTAACAGATCTTTGGGTTTGAAGGGACTTTACAAGTTTGCAAAGTTTTTGAGGTTTAGAATAAAAGTAACTTTTTTCATTTTCTCCACAAATTTTACAACTTGCTGAAGAAATTCCTCAATAAATGTGCTTTTGCGTTGAAGGTGGGACACATTTCTGAGTTCAGAAAGAGAGAGGAGGGTTGAGCAGAGGAGGAGCAGAGGTGAAGGCGGCTCAGGGGCTGCAGACTGTGAACCAGATGTGAAGCAGTGACTCACAGCGGGCAAAAGGCTCAGTGACGTTGGCCGCTCTGCACGCTAAAGCTCTGCGTGTGAGTCGGGAGTTCCAGCCTTTCCTCCAAAACAACAAGCTTTACGCAGGCTCAGTAACGTCTGGTTAAGGCTTATGATTTCATTTGGACGCAGAGCCGTGCCGAGGGAGCACAGAAACCAATCTCCGACGTTGGTGTATAATTTGAAAAACTCTTAACGAGCTGGCAAACAAATGAGGTCCTAAAAGTTTTGTAAGCGGAGCGTCAAAGTGCAGCAGGAGAGAAGAGATGTCTCGCTTTCTGCGGTTTGCTCAGCAGACATTCGCCCAATATTCTGGCTCTTTTGTTTGCCCGGTTTTTACAACGCTTCACTAGCTTCCTGCTCAAAAATTAGTTTTTCCACTGGTGGTGTCACTAAGCAACGTCAGAGCTTAGCATTAATGTGTCTGCAAGGAAGAAAGATTAGTCTGTTTCCTCCCTTTGATACTGTGCTAGTTTGGACGAGACACATTGTCAGGTGGAATGTGACTGTTGGTTTAGTAGCGTTTTACAAAAGGCCTCTGTGTTTTTGTCAGGGAAAGCCCACATGTACAGTGTATTTGCTCAGGATGTGTTGCTCATGGAGTAAACTCCCTGACATCCATGGAGAGTGTGCTTGTGCACGTGTTTTTTTGGAAAGCAAACAGCATGGGATTGTTGAATGACCTTAAAAAAAACCCCTTTCTCCTCATAAGTCGATTGTCAAGGCGAGCGTGTTTTTAAAGGCTGCCACCTGTACGGATGGATTTGCACTCGTATGATAAATCTGAGGTGTTTTGGGAAAAGGGCAAATCTCCCTGTTTGTGTGTGCTCCTTACCCTTTTTTTTTGTGTGTTTTGTTTTTCCCCCGTCTTTCTCACTCCCCTTCAGAACTCCATTAGACACAACCTGTCCTTGCACAGCCGATTTGTCCGGGTCCAGAACGAGGGGACGGGGAAGAGCTCGTGGTGGATGCTGAACCCGGAGGGCGGGAAGAGTGGAAAGTCCCCACGACGCAGGGCGGCCTCCATGGACAACAACAGCAAGTTCACAAAGAGCAGAGGGAGAGCAGCAAAGAAAAAAGTAATTCATTCAAAGATTTCTGTTCTCTGATGACCCAATGAATCCTCGTGTCTTCGGTTTTGATGATGTCTTAATTATGACCATACTCCTAAAGGATGTGTTTTCTGTGCTATTAAGTCAAATAATCACTTTAAGGTTTTACTACTCTAATTTCTTCAAAATACTACATATAAAATCCAATTAACACTGAAATAAATGAAATCAAAATAGCAACAACAGTTTTCATGATGATTTTAAAGTAAGGTTGGGCGACTGGACGAATTTATCGACCATCAATGATGGGCTCAGCACTTCAACGTAGGGCTGGGCGATAAATCGATTTAAGCGATTAATTCGAATCTGCCATTTATAAAGATTTAATTTTGGGAAAATCGAGGTTTTTTTTCCCCACCAGTGCACTCTTTCGGCCTTCTGTAGTTCAGAGGTCACCCCACCTGTTCCTAAAGACGTTTGGTACACGACATGACAATATGGCAGCTAGCAATGAGGATCTACCTCCCAAAAAAGGCAGTGTGTCTTCAGTTTTCTGGAACTGGTTAGGTTTTGCAAACTTGGACTTGGAGCAACGAACACCTCACTGCAGAATCTGTTTGCTACAAAAATCAGGAGTACAACAAATTTGTTTTGACACCTGACACAGAGGAACTCCGTTAAGTGCGAGACAAAATCGATTAAAATCGAATTTGGGATGAAAAAAAAATCTGAGATTTTAATTTTGGGCCATATTGCCCAGCCTTACTTCAACGGTCATTGTTTTAAAAGCAGTTTTCTTTCTTTTTTTGTTTTATTCTTACACGTCCAGCCCATCGTGTGCTGACAAAACTTACAGATCAGTTCTTCTCCAGGTAGCTAAAGAACCTCTGGGGTTTACCCTGAGATTCATATTTTTGGAGGGCGTTGCTGTTTCAGCGAGTGTGCTCACCGTGTCGGTCGTGGCTAACATTTTTTTTCTGTCTGTCGGGAGGGGAGCTCAGGGAGCTCATCCCGCATGCCTGTATCTGCCAGGTAATGGCAGGTTCAGGGAGCGGCAGCGGCCAAAATACCTCAGAAACTTGCCGAAATAAGCAAATCCCTCGAGATTCCGCGTTTTACACCAGATTCCATTTTGTTGGGTCAATTCCACGATTCCATCCGCATTTTCTGCATCGCGGAAATCAGGGCCCTACTAGAGATGCACCGATAGGAAAATTTCAGCCAATATCGATATTCGATATAATTACTGCTGCTATGGCCGATAACCGATATTTACCGATATTACACAAACACACAAATGATATTACACACATACGCACAAAGACACTTCAGTTATTCCTGGCTGCACAGCATCAATATCGCTATCATCATCAAACAGATGCAGCTCAACCAACCATCTCCCCTTCCAAAACAGAAACTAAAAAGTGGGCGTTAATATCGGCCCAGTTTTACATATCGGCCGATACGATATTAATGCCGATATATCGTGCATCACTACTATGGTTTACCTTTTTTCAACTGCCAAGTAGGTGACTTTATATTTTTTGGCAACCAGTTCCTCCATTTTTGGACACTTGTGTTCTATCATAAAATCAGTCCATGCATGTTCACATTGCTCCGCCCACAAAACATTCCACCTGCATGAATACATCGTTATTTGTTGTACTGATTAGAAAGAGTTGGAAATATTTTACACATCGCCCAACCTTATTTTGAAGCTATTAAGACTTGTAAAAAATGTTATTTCTGTCCAAGTGTGTTGTTTTTGGAGCCTAGTTTACTGCTGACACACTAAGTGTCTCCTTGTCCCCTCCCACAGTTGACGGTGCAGGGTGGTCCTGACGGAGGTGCAGACAGCCCAGGCTCCTATTCCAAGTGGCCCGGCAGCCCCAACTCCCACAGCAACGATGACTACGATGCCTGGAGCAGCTTCAGGCCTCGGACCAGCTCCAACGCCAGCACTTTGAGCGGCCGCCTTTCACCCTTCGTGCCCGAGGATGACCTGGGAGAAGCCGAAGTGCACATGGGGTACCCAGGGGCTCCGGGACCCAAAATGACAGCCACGCTGCCCAGCCTCACGGAAATGACGGGACACAGCTCCGAGAACGTCATGGAGAACCTCCTGGACAACCTGAACTTGCTGTCACCCAACAACTCTCAGGTTGGAGGAGGGGCGACGACTCCCGGCTCCTCCCAGTCCTCCCCCTCACCCATGATGCAGCCGAGCCCCGGGTACCCAACCTACAGCTCCCCTGCCATGGGCTCACAGTCCCAGCAGGACTACCACAAGTGCGTCTACGGCCAAGCTGGAATGAACGCCCTGCCGTCCATGCCACTGCAGACTCTGTCAGAGAGCAAGCCCAGCTTTGGACCCGGCATGGGTCAGTACAGCTGCCCCGCGGGGCTCCTGAAGGAGCTGCTGACATCTGATAGCGACCAGCACGGAGAACTCATCCCATCAGTGGACACGGTGACCTCTCAGTCCATGCTGCCACCGTACAACAGCAGCCAGCATGCAGCCAAGCTCATGGCGATAGGGACCAGCCACCCACACGGTCTTTCTCACCCGCACCCCCACAACGTGCACAGCCAGGCCTCGGCCACGTCACCAGCTATGAATGGCCGCCTGCTCATGTCCCTGAACTACAGCGGGGGCTCCATGCGTTTGCCTGCAGCCAAAAGCCCCATGCAGGTGCCTTACGGCCTCCCGGGCCACCTCAGCGGGGGCGGCATGCCCGGCAGCTTCTGTCCCCTTAACACCAACGGGTACGGCCGAGCGGGCCTGTCAGCGCCCCCGCACGCAGAGAAACTCCCCAGTGACCTGGACGACATGTCCATCGAGAAGTTTGAGTTCGACATGGAGACGGTCCTCCACGACACTCTCATGGACGGGGACTCGCTGGACTTCAACTTCGAGCCGGTCATGACCCAACAAAGCTTCTCACATGGGGTGAAGACCACCACACACAGCTGGGTTTCTGGGTAGAAAGTAAAGCAAACAAAAGTTTTATTCTCTTAACTTATTGTTTGCTGTTGGATAAAACAAAAAAAAATAATCAGTTTGAATTGATTTAAAATTGAGAGTCCTCAGCCCGTCTGCAATATTCCGGTTCCAAAAATACTTTTCACACTAAATCTCTTCAGCAGATTGGTCATGACCAGCTGCTGACAAATCCCCTTTAGAGCACCCCGAAGATGAAATCAGGATTATTTGTCAAGTGCCAAACATTTTGCCTTAAAAGAGCCAAACTGACACATATTTCTGGTTTACACACAAAGGCTACAGATGCCGTACTGTAGGTGAAGTCTATATTGTTAAGTGAAACTGCCAAATATATCTTATCATCAGCATCAGCACAATCTGTAGAGATGCACAAACTCGCACAGTTTTGTTTTTTTGTGTGTGTGTACAGAAATAACGTCTCCCACGGCCAAACGATGAAGGTAATCTGGCTCGTGAGATTCCGGGGTTTGGATTGAAATGTTAAAAATCCTCAAAAGATTTTTATGTGATGTTACAGTAAAACATACGTATAGCCTGAGTGTACATAATGTAATCTTACGGTTTGTAAAATAGGGTTGTTTTGTTGTTGTTGTTTTTTTTACGTTTGTAAATAGTGTTTACAGGAAAAACAAAAAAAGAAAAATCGGTACCACTTTACAATAAGGCTCCCCTTATAGATGGCTTATAAAGAGTTTATAGATAAGTTATTAATTCATCTGTAAACACTTTATAAATTAGTAGAAGTGTTTATTATGCATTAAACTGACTGGTTTCTTTCCAAACACTGAGCCAAATCTGTTTGTGTATTAAACATTTCAGACTAGTTTACTACCTTGTAAACACAATAAAGATTAGGAAACGCATATTTTAACATATAATATTGTACCGTATTACTGCATTATACATATCCACAAATATTAAAGGGATCCTAAGTGTAAAACTACACTATTTTGGATGGGGTGGGATTATTTGATATGTTAAAATGATTTTTTTTGACAGTAGTTACATGTTTGAACAATAATTTCAAATAATGACAATCAACAAAGTTTTTAAAATGATTTTTCACATTGAAGACGAACTTTTGGCCTTAATAAATGTTTATTTGTCATTAATAAATAATGTACTGTATTACATTTTACGATAAGTCTCCCTTTGACAGTTGTGAATATTTATAATGCAGTAATACAATATTAATATGTTAAAATGTGTTTCTTATCATTATTGTGCTTACAATGTAGTAACCTAGTCTGAAATGTTTAATAAGCACCTTTAGATGTAATATGTACCTGAACAGATTTCTCTCATTATTTGGTAAGAAACTGGACAGTTTTGTCTCTTTCTCATCCTTAATTATTGCATAAGAAACATTTATTAATGATTTATAAAGTGTTTACAGATGAATTAATAACCTATATAAACTCTTTATAAGCCATCTGTAAGGGGAGCCTTATTGTGAAGTGGTACCGAAAAATCAAACCAGCAGAAATGAGCTCACAAAGAAAACTGGATCCGATTCTTTTAAACACACGTTGAACAGGTCAGTCAGGCTGTAAAATGATGATACACTTTCTGAATTTTTTTTTGTACATACATTACAAATGTACTATAAGACAGTGTAGTAAATGTTTACTAGATTTAGTATATATTTGAGATCTAAGTTATTTGAGGTTAATGTAGATTTATGCTGGTGCACAGCCTGCACTCAGACGTCAGAGCTGTTTTGAGTTATTTCTCACTCTGAACCTTAAAACCACAGAGGCCTATTTATTGTGCCTAACAGAGTAGATTTCGACTGCAGGTTTAGTGAGTTGAATATTTTAATCGTCTATGGTCCAGAAGATACTCAAATCCAGCAATCTTGAAGATTATTTTTAAATTTCGTACTTTAACTTTGTAAAAGTCAAGAAAAAAAAGTGTAAAAGTTTATTTTTGAGGTTCGCTGAACACATTTTTAGCGCTGTGATTGTTACAAAGTCGAGACAGTTGTTAGATTAAAAGATATTCTCGGCGCTGCTCTCGTAACCAGCCTGTGCCCTGTTCAGCTTTAGAGCTTTCCGTGTTTCGTTCCACGTCTTAAAAGGTTTATTGTGACTGGTCAAGATTAGTGCAGAAAGGTTAACGAAGCCCTCTGATGCTGTCTGACAGAACAGCCTCACTGCTTTCTCTCTGCCCCTCCTACCTCTGCCTGTCGTCTTTTCAAACATTTGATATGATGCTAACACGTGTCTTGGTCTGCCTTTCACATAACAAGTTTACCATTCTCTTCTCCCCCCTGCAAAACTCTAAGTGTTACTATGTGGTCTTTGCTTGTATATTTGCAACCATTTTCCCACTTATTCTACTAACAAACATTTCAGCCTCACAGTAACTTAGAGTTTGAAAAGTTACTTTGTTCCAATGAAGTTGACTCAACCAGTGACTAGAAGATCAAACGGCTTAGAAATAAACATGAACTGATCAGAATAATATTGATAAGTGATTTATCTAGAGGCCACACGTGTCAGTCGTCCGACATGTTGCAGTCAATGGCTTTGCTTTGAAAACACATTTGAAAATTGGTCAGTTTTTTTTAATCTTTTGGTTTTGTTGGTTTGGCAGTACGATGGATCAGTGGTTAGCACCAACGCCTCACAGCAAGAAGGTCCTGGGTTCGATTCCAGGTTCAGACCTGGGGTCTTTGGTCCATGTTCTCCTCGTGCTTGCGTGGGTTTCCTCCACCCCTAAAAACGTACAATAGTTTGCCTTCAGGCCCAGGCCGCCCTTGAAAAAGAGATCTGAGATCTCATCGGGACTTGCCTGGTTAAATAACAGTAAATAATAATAAAGTGAAAATTTACATACTCTGGATCAAGGGGTCTACAAACTTTAAGAGCCGCTGAAGTACCGCCCACGGTACATCCCGTTTGTGGTTACTTCCTCCCTCTGTATAGTCTGACCCACGCTACCAGGGAATTTGAATTTGCACAATAGTCTGATCAAATAATTCGATTGGTTGTCTTCTCTCAATTGATACATCTTTTGACTAACTGGGTTCATCTACAGGCTCTCCAGAGCCCAAAATGTGTGGCAAGCCCCTCATGTCCCACCCATACGTGGTACATGTGATAGATTGACTAGAATCAGCCAATCAGCTCTGAGCTTCATTCTGACACCACATCTGTGCGGCCAATCAAGTTACCTTTTATTCAATATGCAGTTTTTGGAAAAAAGTTAGTGTATTTTAACTTCAATAACTAAATGCTAGTCACAAAATTTCTGACAGCTGAAGTTTAAAATCCAGATTACAGAGACTAGGCTTGTGAATTTACTCCAAAGACCAATACTTCCTTTACTTTGGGTTAGGGTTAGGCCCGCAGGTTAAATAGAATTTGTCTATAGCTGCAAAACCCACTTATGAGTTAGCATAAATACAGCGTAACTCATTAGGTTTTACATAAACAAAATGAAAGAGCCACACGTTGCAGACCCCTGCTCTAAACTCAAATGAGCCGACACCTTCAAAGTGGATTTTATATTTAAAAAACCCTTTTATAAAACTAAATTCTCATTGTTTTTAAAGGCTGGTAAAGAAGCTGCTGTTTGGTTTTGTTGCCAGGTGTTGCCTTCTCTCACCAAAACATGCCATAGTACTGTACTATAGCCAAATCTGCCTTTCAGTCAAAGCGATGTGTTTAGCATTTTTATCAAGTGATGTGTTCAGAACTATATATATATAAAACTATATATAGATAGATAGAAATAAATACATATATATTTGTGCCGGTCACTCATGTCAAGATTAACTGTATGTAGGTTTACTCTAAAAGTTAAAGAGCTGTACTAAGTAAGTAAATTATATCTATGTTTTCAAATGATTGAATCTATGCATTGTATTTCTTAATTCTTTTGTTGCTGTTGGTATATATTTTTTCATTTCCCCCCCCTTTGAACTTTTATCAGAGATATTTTATTGTAACATAGCGCTGTTAGATGTTATGGTGTCATCAGAAATCTACGTTTCACATAGTTATAAAGGGGAGGGGGGGTAAAATGAAGTTTATTTAGAAAAGTAGATGATGCAGTGATTGATACGCTAAGCTTTTCTTTAACTTTTAATGTATTTCGCTATGTTTTTTTTTTTTTAGAAAATAGCACCAAAAAGCAAATTAATAAAAAAAATATGTAAAGGTATATTGCATTTTTTTAAATGAAACAATATTTATTCATCAGAGAAGTCCTGCTCAAGATATCAGATTTTGGACCAATTTAGATATTGCACTTTTACTTAACATTTTTAACAAAGGGCTCCTTCCGAACTCTAAAAAGGAGGAGTCCCCATTATATATTTTGGAATAAAAAAAATCTGTTACATTTACCTTATACGAGAAAAAGATTGGAGTTGTGATGTTTGATTTGCAATCAATGAGACATATGTAACTTGTTCAATATTAATCTTTTAAAAATTTCAATAAATGTACTTCTGTGTAAAGATGTGTCGGGTTTGTCATTCATTTTGAATGTGGTTGATGTGAAAATGTTGTTTTTGTTCAGGGCAGGCAGACAGCCTTCAGCCTTGAAACAGACCATGAGGTGAAGGTAAACTTCTAATCTACATGAATATGTTAAATATAAATACTTTAGTGAGTTCATAGTGCTCAGACAAACAGTTGTTTTTAATAGAAATAGTTTTAAGTGAGGAACAAAAAACTGCCAGAGATTTAAACTGAAATAATTTTGAAGGAAACAAAGTTCAAGCCTTGTAAATATTAAGCACAGATCTTGTTTATTTTAGAGAATCCACCAAAAACATGTTGAGGATGTCTACCAGTGATGTACGGCCAATAATTATTTTCTTAGAGTTTCATTAAAGGGGGTATTATCCAAAATCAAAATTATTTTTTTAGCTTTGTATCATGTTATGTTCTCTCATCAAAAACATAAGCAGGGTGTTGCTTTGACTCATTCATGCATGTTAGAGAAATCCTTGAATCTCCCGCGGAGCTGCTTGGACATTTTCTGGTACAAAGCTCCGCCCATTTACACAAAGCTCCTCCCTGGCTGCAGCTGATC